TGTCTACAATTGTTCTCAAGTATGTTCTAAGCACAAAGTATGCAAATGGGGCCAAAATCTCAGGCTTCAAATGCTCTTAATAGCCTAAGTAACACAGGAGTATGAGTTTGGGCACAACAGTGACAACCTTAAAAGCTGAGTAAGTTCAGTTAGTGTGGTATCAAAGTAAAATTTAACCTAGGTGGTTGCTAAAGATAATATGAGTTTACCTTAAAATCTCAAAGTTGGGGCTGGAGAGATGGCTCAGTGGTTAAGAACACTGGTTCTTTCAGAAGACCTGGGTTAGAATCCCAGCACCCACATGGCAGCTAACAACTGTCTGTAACTCCAGTTCCAGGGGATCCGACAGCCTCTTCTATCCTCCGCCAGCACTGCACGACACGGGTGCACTTACCTACATGCAGGCAATGCACGCATACACATACAAAAAAAGACAATGAATTTGATTCATTCTTAAACACAGAACCCTATATGCACTTTAAACAAAGATGATTATGTCTAGAATGAATACAGGAAAGATTTTGCCATTAGCCCTGTACTCAAGTTTCACATTGGTAGATCATTATCAATGAAAAATAGTGCATCTTTTGCAGAAGGTTCCCTCTATAAGACAGAAGTTAATCTCATAAGATGTTTCAACAGGGCTAATAGGAAAAATCATGTAAAGTACCAAACCCAGTCTATGACTGGGGTATTGTAGCTAAAATTCCTTCTGGGAGGCATGAACAATGTCTGCCCCCTCCTGCTTGGTCCCTACAACCAAGTCCAGCTTGGTCTATATAGTGAGGTCCAGGCCAGCTGGGGCTACAGGAAGACCCTGTCTCAAAAAGACCAAAAAAAAAAAAAAAAGATTTTTAAAAAAATTTTATGTGTACGAGTGCATTGCCTGCATGTATGTAAGTGCGCCTATGTTGTGCAGTGCCCTTAGAGGTCAGAAGAAGGTGTTGAATCACCTGGAACTGGAGTTAGGTACAGCTGTTAGTTGCCATGTAGGTGCTGGGAACTGAACCCAGGTCCTCTGTAAGAGGTCTCAAAGTTGCTCTCCCCAATTTTAAGTGCCTGGCCAGCTTCATAAGTTAATATATTCCCTTATGGTGATTATTAAAGCTTTTTCACACATTGGAGAGTGTGAAAATAAAGTTCAGTCTAAAAGCTGCCATACCTAGTTCTGTAAAACACTGTTATCTTCTCCAGTAACTTATAATACAGGCTGCAAACTTGGAAAGGCAGTGGTATATTTACCAGTTTGCCATTAGGGCCGTGAATCTCAATTTTGTTTTAGCTGGCCACCTGTATAGTCTTTCCATCTTCCTTTAAATTGCTGGGAACTTTTTGTCATGAATTGAAATAGGCAAAAAACTCATAAAGAGTGATGCCTTTTTTTCCCATTCCGGACTTTATGAGCATAATCCTATTTTCCTTTATATTTAGTCATAAACTCAAGCTGGCACCTACAACCAAGACTCAAAAACCAGTACACCCTGCCTCTTGTAATTATCTCTACTATTAAAAACAAAGTTAATTAGCGAAAACATTTTATCTGGATGGTTTTATGAGTCTATAATTCTTTTTTTAAAAATATATTATTTATTATTTTTATTTTATGTGTATATTTCCTGCATGTATGTGAGTGCACCCGTGTTGCGCAGTGCCGCAGAAGTCAGAAGAGGGCTTCGGATTCCCCTGGAACTGGAATTAAGGATGGTTCTAGCCGCCATGTGGGTGCTGGGAATCAAACCTGGGTCTTCTGCAAGAGCAGTCAGTGCTCTTGACCGTTGAGCCGTCTCTCCAGCCCCTAGAGTCTATAATTCTTGATACTAGTTTCTTTGTTGTTCCTTTAAGCAATCTAATGTGCCACACAATTATTTTAGGGTATTTGTTTTTTTACAAGAATTGCTTTTTCAGCCGGGTGTGGAGGTACACACCTGTAGTCCCAGCAGCACTCAGGAGGCAGAAGCAGACAGATCTCTATGAGATGGAGGTCAGCTTAGTCTACATAGTGAGTTCCATGCCAGCTGTGGCTACAGGGAGACCCTGTTTCAAAAAACAAAACAAAACAAACAAAAAGTTGTGCTGGGTGTGGTGGTGCACGCCTTTAATCCCAGCATTCGGGAGGCAGAGGCAGGTGGATTTCTGTGAGTTCAAGGCCAGCCTGGTCTACATAGCCAGTTCCAGGCCAGCTGGGCTACAGGGAGACTCTGTCTCAAAAAGACAAAAAAAAAAAATGTGTTCTCATAAGATTGGTTGTAGGGAGTTTCAAAACACAACTGATTTTTAAAAGTCTGGGTTTCCACACACAGTGCATCACAAGACGTTTGGCAGTGTGGTGTGACTGTGATACTACAAATGGTCTCTAGTGTGTGAAACACAAAGGTAAGACTGGTAATCCAGGAGCCACACAGCACACCCAGCCAACAGAGGGCAAAGTAAGGAGGGTGGACGGGAAGAGAAGGTGGCTGTGCTCCGGGTGGCTCCCAGGTTGGAGGAGAAGAGTTGAGACAGCAGACTGCAGCAGTTGGTGTGGGGAACAGGGCCCTGCTGGAGGCGAAGGCTGAGGCATTTTGCCTGGGTGCATCCAGTGACTCATTAAAGACCGTGGAGCTCATGAGGCCATGGTTCTTGTTTCCTTCCTTGAAGTCACATGAAAATGAGCAGAGGGTGGGTCATGAGGAGCCCCTCCAAAGACAGGAAGGAAGCTCCTTTGATGGAGACCTGTGGGCAGCAGTGTGTGGACACATGTCCTCTCACACATGAATGCCTGGGTGATCTCTACATATATACAGAGCCTCCCTGACCCTCTCAGAAAGTCTTGAGAAGATCTGGTCCTACAGGAGTCCTGGCTGGGGTTGCAGGAACCAAGGCCCGCTTTGCTCCTTGCTGTCTCATCCTGATTCTTGCCAGCAGATACAGGTAAGTGGAGATGGGCCAGAGAGGTGAGGGCCAGGTACTGCAGGGCCCAACAGTTAGGAGCACAAACCTGCAACACAGGTCAGTTTCGGCTCTACCACTCAGTCACTGTGGGACTCCGGGTAGTCTCAGTCTTTAGGTCAGCTTCAGGCCTTACCACACGCCTAGACTACCTTTCCAATCCAGTGTCTCCTTAACACTCAAGTTTCTTCCTCCACAAGGTTTTGTCTTGCAGGCACCAGTTAGACATTCTTGGGTGTTTCTAGTATGCTTTGCACCTTGCACTGGACACATTTGCTTGACCCTTTGCACACTGTATTCTCCTTGCTTTCTGCCTGTTCCCACTAGACCTGAACGTCTTTAAGAAAAGAGACTGTGTCTTTTCCACTTTTGTCTCCCCAGTGTATAGTAGAGAATTGTCACTTGATAAATATCAGCTAAGAAGGAATGAAAGGAAAGATGGGCTGGGTGGGAAGTGAGGGAATAGTCACAGAAATTGTACCCTTACTCAGTGTGACTTGGCCAATTGTTCCTTGTGCCCAGACATTGGCCAATGGTTGGTTTGCCCAGCCCACAGCTTAGGTTTGACAAAGTCTTCCCCTATACCTAGTTTTAAGATTTGACTTAGTGGGACATGATGGTGCATACCTGAGATCCCAGCACTTGGGAGGTGGAGGCAAAAGGATCAAAAAATTCAAGGTCAACCTGGGCATGTCCTAGTCTCAACAAAACAAATAAAACCAAATTTGACAGTTTGATCCCATTTGTCTCTACTCAAAAAATGAGCCTACCTCTTTCCTAATCTAATTCACAATTTTGGAAGGATTTCTCAGAATATTATGATTTCTAAGGGAACAGTCAGGGAGAGGAAGTGAAATTCAAACCAAGTCACACCCCCACCCCTTTTTCTATAGACAGAATGTGTTTTTGGTTTTATTTTCTTTTTGAAGCCGGGTCTCCCTGTAGCCCCAGGTGGCCATGTAGACCAGACTGGCCTTGAACTCACAGAGATCCACCTACTTCCCAAGTGCTGAGATTAAAGGCATGTGCCACCACACCCAGCCAGCTGAGTCTTTTTTATTTGCTTGTTTTCGGATTTTTAAAAAAATATTTTATTATTTTTTTTGTTATTTTTATTTTTTTTATGTGTATGAGTGTATTTCTTGCATGTATGTGAGTGCACCCATGTCATGCAATGCCACAGAGGTCAGAAGAGGGCTTCGGATTCCCCTGGAACTGGAGTTAAGGAGGGTTCATAGCTGCCATGTGGGTTCTGGGAATTGAATCTGGGTCCTCTGCAAGAGCAGTCAGTGCTCTTAACCACTGAGACATCTCTCCAGCCCGTTTTTGGATTTTTAAAAAATGTTTTTAAAATTTTTATTTGTACAGGTGTTTTGTCAGTATGTTTACTGGTATGTGTATAGAGCCCATGAAGGCTGGAAGGGGGTGAAAGAGAGGGCCATGTGGGTGCTGGGAATTAAACCCAGGTCTTCTGGAAGAAGAGCAAGTGCCTTAACCTGAGCCACCTCTCCAGCTCATTTTTGGATTTCTGAGAGAGTGTTTCATAATAGCCCAGGCTGGCCTCACGCTATATAGCCAAGGACAGCCTTGAACTTCTAATCTGCCTGCTCCTACCTCTCAAGTCTGGGATTTGTATGTGACCACGCCTGGCTCAAGCCCATCATTTTTAGTACCTCTCTGTGACTTTCCTGAGAGCAATCGCCTTAGAAGAGGAGGTCAGGGTGGTTTGGTGTTTGTGGGTCTTGATAGATCTCACTCGGGTGGTATGAGCAGACGGTATTGAAGGCATTCCTGTTCTAACGCCATTCCTGGGCCAAATTCAGAGTGTATTCCCGAAGGGCCAGCACATACCAGTCCTTACTGGCTCCAGACAAAATCAGTCTAGGAAGGAATGGGTTAATGTCATTCCTTGCTCACTCTTGGTGACTCCCCTTCATTACACGGAATAATACAGGGAAACACACAGGGAGTCCTGCCCTTAAATGGTAAGATAATCTGAGATGGAAGGACTGCCCAGATCACAGGACGGTGAGGAGTTCTGTACTGGGAAAAAAAGCAAAACCCAGTGTGGTGGGAAGGAACCACACCCTGACAGGAGCTGGGAGGCTGAATCTGGTGCAAGGAAGAAAGCTTTAGAAACAGGCCTCTATCACCTCTCCTAACTCCTTACTCCTCAGCCCCAGGTATCATTGGGTAAGGGTTCTTTACACCCATCCCTAGCAACACACCCCCTCCCTTGCCCCTCTCCTCTAGCAAGACCTGGAAGTCCTTTCACTTGGGACAAGTTATTTCATTTAGTATGAGCGACCCACTTAGAAGCAAATACCCCATGGAGAGGGCTGTGTAAAGTCTACTCATCACAACACAGGGAATTGCAGCAACAAAGCTCCTCCTGGAGGGTGGGAGGAGGAAGAAATGTGGGCTCTGAGGGGAAGCAGAGCAGCTCAACCACACTCCCCAACACAAAGCCTATTCAGTGCCTGGTAACCATCTCTTTATCATAGACTGTAGTTTAGACAAGTTGCAAGTGTTAATTAAGTTTTTTAGTTTAGGGTCTTTTGTTGTTTTTGTTTTTAATTACCTGTGTTCATGTGTATGTGTGTGAGCACATGTGTGCCATGGTTCTTGTGTGGAGGTCCTAGGACAATTTTTAAAAAAATATTTTATTTATTTTTATTTTATGTGTATGAATGTATTGCCTGCATATAGGTAAGTGCACTTGTGCCGTGCAGTGCCCGAGATCAGAAGAGGACAGTCAGTGTTCTTAACCACTAAGCCATCTCTCCAGCCCCAACAAAATTTTTTTTTAATGTGTATAAGTGTATTGTCTTGCATGTATGCAAGGGCACCCGTGTCATGCAGTGCCTGAGGAGGACAGAAGAGGGCATCAGATCCCGTGGAACTGTAGTTACAAATGGCTGTTAGTCGCCATATGGTTGCTGGGAATCACACTCAGGTCCTCTGCAAGAGCAGCCAATGCGCTTTACCACTGAGCCATCTCTCCAGCCCTGTTTGTTTTTTTGAGACAGGGTCTTTCTGTAGCCCCACCTGGCCTGGAACTCGATTTATAGACCAGGCTGGCCTCTATCTCACAGAGATACTCCTGCCTCTGCCTCCTGAGTGCTGGGACTAAAGATGTGTGCCACCATTCTGTATAATCCATTAAAAATATTTTATTTATTATTTCTATTTTATGTGTATGAGTGTACTGCCTGCAGGTGTATAAGTGCACCTGTGTTGTGTAATGCCTGTGGAGGTCAGAAGAGGGCATCAGATTCCCTGGAACTGGAGTTACGAATAGTTGTTAACTGACATATGGGTGCTGGGAACTGAACCCAGGTCCTCTCCAAGAGGAGTTAGTGCTTTTAACCAGTGAGCCATCTCTCCAGCCCCATAATCCATTTAAAAAAAGTATTTTATTTTATTATTTTAATTTTAATTCTTTTTTTATATTTAATTTCAAAATGCTTCTTTTGGGGGGTCTTTTTGAGACAGGGTCTCCCTGTAGCCCCAGCTGTCCTGGAACTCACTATGTAGACCAGGCTGGCCTTGAACTCACAGAGATCCGCCTGCCTCTGCCTCCCAAGTGCTGGGATTAAAGGCCTGCGCCACCATGCCCGGCCAATTTTAATTTTTTTTATGTGTATTGCCTGCATTTAGGTAAGTGCACCCATGTTGTACAATGCCCAAGAAGGACAGAAGAGGCTGTCGGATCCCCTGGAACTGGAGTTACAGATAGTTATTATCTGCCACATGGGTGCTGGGATACGAACCAGGGTCTTCTGCAAGAATGGCCAGTGTTTTTAACCACTGAGCCATCTCTCCAGCCCCCCATAATCCACTTTAAAAAACAAACAATTCGGGGCTGGAGAGATGGCTCAGCGGTAAAGAGCATTGACTGCTCTTGCAGAGGACCCGGGTTCGATTCCCAGCACCCACATGGCAGCTGCGAACCGTCCTTAACTTCAGTTCCAGGGGAATCCGAAGCCCTCTTCTGACCTCTGTGGCATTGCATGACATGGGTGCACTCACATACATGCAGGCAATACACTTAGAGACATAAAATAAAAATAATATTTTTTTTAAGAAAAACAAAAACCTAACAATTCCAGAGCTAAAGAGGTGACTCAGCAGTTAAGAGCACTGGCTGCTCTTGCAGAGACCCCAGGTTCAGTTCTCAGTACTCACATGGCAACTAACAACTATCCATAGCTCCAGTTCCAGAGGATCTGACAAGCTCTTCTGGCTTCTGTGGGTATACTCATGGTGCACTTACATACATGCAAGCAAAACACATATACATAAAAATAAAGAACCTGAAACAATTCCAGTGGCTATGTCACCCTATCCCCTCTTGCAGGCTGGCATCAAACTCTGGGACTGACATAGCCATCTGTCTCACCTTCCCGAGTAGCTGGAACTACAGGTATACACCACCACGCTGGCTTTGCTCATTTTTGGCACATCCTCCATTCATTTAACTCTTTCTTTTCTTAGCAATGTTCTGCCATTCTTGGTACAAAATTCTGTAAGTATTTCTATTTTGTGCTATTATAGATGGTATTTTTATTTTTTTCTTTTTTAGACAGGGTCTTCCTGTAGCTCCAGCTGGCTTGGAACTCACTGTGTAGACCAGGCTGGCCTTGAACTCACAGAGATCCACCTGCTTCTGCCTCCTGAGTGCTGGGACTAAAGGTGTGCACCACCACACCTGGCTCTAGATGGTATTTTTTAAATCTCAAGTTTCAACATGCCATTTTGTATAGAATATTAACATTTTATTCTATGTCTGCTAAACTCTTGTTTGTTTGAGACAAGGTGTCCCTGTAGCCCCAGCTGGCATGAAACTCCTAGGAGATCAGGTTAATCTTGATTTCACAGAGATATATTTGCCTCTACCTCCAGAGTGCTGGGATTAAAAGCATGTGCCACCATGCCTGGCGCTCAAGTAATTTTTTGATAGGTTGCATAGGATTTCCTACATATTCGATCATGTTATCTAAGTATAATGACGATGGTACATCCTGTTTATGGCTTTTGTTTCTTTTTCTTTTCTTATTTTACTGGATCTACAGCAAGGACACGGCTGAATAGAAGCTTTGAGAATGAACATCATGATGACAACTTTAAAAAATATTTTTAAATGTATTATTTTTATTTTATGTGTATGCATGTATTGCCTGCATGTAGGTAAGTGCACCTGTGTCGGGCAGTGCCCTCAGAGGACAGAAGAGGCTGTCGGATCTCCTAGGGACTGGAGTTATGGACAGTTGTTAGCTGCCATGTGGGTGCTGGGATTTGAACCCGGGTCTTCTGCAAGAACAGTGAGTGTTCTTAACCACTAAGCCACATGATGGCAACTTTAAAAATTTATAAAAATAATCAGGGTTGGAGAGAATGGCTCAGTGATTAAAATGCTTACTGCTCTTCCAGGGAACTTGAGTTCAGTTCTCAGCATCCACATCAGCTGGCTCACAGCTGCCTGTACCTCAGCTCCAAGGGATCTAACGCCCTCTTCTGGCCTTCATGGGCACTTGCACATATTCCTTCGCATACACACACACACACACACACACACACAAACACAATGCACACACACAAACACAAATAAAAATAATCCAAATAAGCCAGGCATGTTGGTGCACTCTTTTTATCCCAGCACTCGGGAGGCAGAGGCAGGCGGATCTCTGTGAGTTCAAGGCCAGCCTGGTTTACATAGCAAGTTCCAGGACAGCTGGGGCTACAGGGAGACCCTGCCTCAAAAAAGACAAAAAAAAAAAATCCAAATAAATCTAAAAAAGGAAAAAGCAACAATTACTGGGCTGACAAGATGGTTCAGAGGATAAGGATGCTTTGCCACCAAAACCCTCAGGACCCATGTCATGGAAGGAGAGAACTGACTTGAGCAAGTTGTCTACTAACCTTCAGTGATGCATCATGGCACACACACACACCATTCCATATTTTGTGTGTGCCCCTATTATAACCATTGATTACTTCTTTAAAAAAAAATTATTACAGCCGGGCATGGTAGTGCATGCCTTTAATCCCAGCACTGGGGAGGCAGAGGCAGACAGATCCCTATGAGTTCAAGACAAGCCTGGTCTACATAGTGAGTTCCAGGACAGCTGGGGCTACACGGAGACTCTGTCTCAAAAAGACCAAACAAAACAAAACAAAAAATTATTACATTTTATGTGTGTGTGTGTGTGTGTGTGTGTAGGTTGACAGAAAAAGGGGTAACTCCTGTTTCTTCAGGAGGACTTAGAAAGGGCATAGTGGGGGCTGTAGAGATGGCTCAGGGGTTAAGAACACTGGTTGTATTTGCAGAGGACCTGGGTTTGGTTCCCAGCACCCACATGGCAGCTAACAAGCACCTGTAACTGCAGTTCCAAGGGATGGGATGCCCTCTTCTGGCCTCTGAGGGCACTGCATGCACATGGTAAACATACATGCAGGCAAAACACTAATAGACATAAAACAAATAGATAAAAATCTGTTTTGTTTTTTTTGGTGTTTTTGAGACAGGGTCTCCCTGTAGCTCCAGCTGTCCTGTAACTCACTATGTAGACCAGGCTGGCCTCAGATTCACAGAGATCCACCTACCTCTGCCTCCCGAGTGCTGGGATTAGGCATGTGCCACCACACCTGGCTAAAATCTTTTTTTTTAAAAAATATTTTATTATTTTTATTTTGTGTGTATGAGCGTATTGCCTGCATGTATGTGAGTGCATCTGTGTTGTGCAATGCCTCGGAGGTCAGAAGAAGGCTTCGGATTTCCCTGGAACTGGAGTTAAGGACGGTTCGTAGCCGCCATGTGGGTGCTGGGACTCGAACCCCCGTCCTCTGCAAGAGCAGTAAACGCTCTTAACCGCTGAACCATCTCTCCAGCCCCCTAAAATCTTTTTTTAATTAAGAAAAAAGAAAGGGCAGAGTGTGTTACAAGCCACTCTGCTCTCCCGTACCTGACTTTTCTACAGAAACTGTCTATTCTGTTTTCCTTCTTCATCACACACTACTGGGCCCTCCTACTCCTTTCTCTGTCATGACCCTCTCCCATCGTTCCAGGATGCTGTCCTCTCCCTGTATGATGGCGTGCTCACGGACCTGCTCCCGCATCCTGGGGCTGAGCCTCGGGACTTCAGCCCTGTTTGCTGCTGGGGCCAACGCAGTTCTCCTTTTTCCTAACTGGGATGTGACTTACCTGTTGAGGGGCCTCATCGGCAAGCATGCCATGTTGGGCTCTGGGCTCTGGGGAGGAGGTCTCATGGTAAGTGTCTGGGGTTTCCCAAGCCTCTTCCAGGGGTAGAACTGGAAGCGGGTGAAGGAGGAGTGTTTTTATTCCTTAAAAAAGGGAGGGGAGGACTTGTTCTAACAAGCTGGTATTAGGATCTTAAACAGTCCAAGGAATAGGAGGATTTGTCATGGATTGCTGAGTTTCAGCTCGGAACCAGGCAGGTTGCGTCAATATTAGCATCCACAGAGTTAAATCAAGACTCGGCCTCTAACCTGGGTCCTGATAGGTCGAGTTCTGTGAGTCGGTTTCAACTGCGGAGGGCGCAGCTAGAAAAATAAATCACCCAGGCTCTTGACACACTTCCCTGCTCTCCAGGTGCTCACCGCGGCGACTCTCATCTCCATGACGGGCTGGAGATATAGCTGCTTCAGTAAGAGTGCACCCTGTCGGAATGTAAGTACCAAATCCTACTTCTTTAATACCTAGAACCGCCCCCCATTACTCTAGAAGCGTGGAGTGGAGCAATTTCAGTTCCTAACTCTGCTCTTAACAATGCCAAACTCTTGACAAGTGGCTTAATCTTTCCAGCCTCCTCTGGAAACTGGTCAGGGCAAGTGGTTAATGAGCCATAGATGTCTATGGAAATGTGGTAAACTGTTATTTTCTCTGTTACTGATATGAACACGAGTTAAATATACTATAATCATGTATCATAGAAAGTCTCCTGGATATTTCATTTATCTATTCATTTATTTTTAATATTTTTATTATTTTCATTTTATGTGTATGAGTGTATTGCCTGCATGTATGCAACCATGTGGGTGCTGGGAATTTGATCCTCTCTTCTGGCCTCAGAGGGCACTGCACACACAAGTACACTTACATACATGCAGGTATATTTTATTTATTATTTTTATTTTGTGTGTATGAGCATATTGCCTGCAGGTATGTGAGTGCATCTGTTTTGTGCAATGCCTCGGAGGTCAGAAGAGGGCTCATACACATAAAATATAAATAAATAGGGGTCTAGAGAGATGGCTCAGCGATTAAGAGCACTGACTGCTCTTGCAGAGGACCCGGGTTCTATTTCCATACCACCCACATGGCAGCTATGAACCACTCTTAACTCCAGTTTCAGGGGAATCCAAAGCCCTCTTCTGACCTCCCCGGCACTGCACGACATGGGTGCACTCACATACATGCAGGCAATACACTCATATACATAAAATAAAAATAATAAAATATTAAAAATATAAATAAATAAACAATCTTCAGAAGAAGCCATTTTAAAAAGCAGACTAGAAACCCTCCAAGTAAGTAAACCATGGTTATCCTTTGGGAAAGAAGGAAGCAGGGTGTGGACAGAAGCAGGGATAGGGACAGAATGGAGTCATTTCAGATTTGGCTCTAAATTCTGTCTCTCCCTGTGTTTCCTTCTTTCCCTCCCTCTCTCCTTCCTCCCCTCCCTCCTTTCCTCTCTTTCTTCCCTGTATAGCCTAGGAGTGCTGTGATCACAATCACCTCTACCTTCTCTGGTTTTTTGTTTTATTGAGACACAGTCTCATGTATCCCAGGCTTGCCTCAAACTCACTCTATAGCACTGAGAATGACCTTGAACTCCTGAGCCTCCTGACTGTCTCCTGAAGTGTACACCGCCGTACCTGGTTGGTGTGGTGCCAGGGACTGAACTTCATGCATGCTAAGTAAGCACTCTAACAGCTGGGCTACAGTTCCAGCTTCTTTCCTGCTTTCTATTTAAAAAAATTTTTTTTTGTCTTTTTGAGACAGGGTCTCCCTCCCTGTAGCACCAGCTGTCCTGGAACTCACTATGTAGACCAGGCTGGCCTAAAACTCGTAGAGATCCGCCTGCCTCTGCCTTCCAAGTGCTGTGATTAAAGGAGTGTGCCACCACACCTGGCCCTTTCTTTCATGCTTTTTATGCTTGATTTGAAAAAGAGGGCTCAGGCCGGGCGTGATGGTACATGCCTTTAATCCCAGCACTCAGAAGGCAGAGGCTGAAGGACTCTGTGAGTTCAAGGCTAGCCTGGTCTACATAGCAAGTTCCAGGCCAGCTGGAGCTATAGGGAGACCTTGTCTCAAAAGACCAGAAAAAAAAAAGGTACATCATAGATAGAATTATCCTCCTGTGAAAGGATGGGAGAATGTCTGATCACTAGAGAAGTCAGACTTGGCCCTGTTGCCCCAGCAGCCACCTGACCATAGTTCTGTCTGTGGTTTCCTTCTTCCTCTGCAGATGCTCATTGCTCTGTTGTCCAGTGGCCTGGCTTTGCTTGGAGCCTTGGTCTGTTTTATCACTTCTGGAGTAGCCTTAAAAGATGGTCCCTTTTGCATGTTTGACATTTCATCCTTCAATCAGACACAAGCTTGGAAATATGGCTACCCCTTCAAAGACCTGCATAGCAAGTAAGTGGGTGGGGACTTGGGTTTACAGTCTTCTCAGCGACCATGACTTTATAGAGGGACTACAGACTCCTTTCGGCCACACCTTTTAGTATCTTCCACATCTGATGAACAGAAAATTGTTAACACAGCGGTACAGTCACCATACAAGCCCAGTCGTATGACCTGCGCCAGGGGAGAGTTGCCCTGGTGCTTTCAAATTGGGGTTGCTTGTTTGTCTTTCCTCTTATTACTCCCCACCGATCTTCTTATTTTTGGTGATAGGAATTATTTGTATGACCATTCACTGTGGAACTCTGTCTGCCTGGAGCCCTCTAAAGCTGTGGTTTGGCACGTGGCCTTCTTCTCCGCCCTCCTGTGTATGAGCCTCCTCCAACTTCTCCTGGTGCTCATCCATCTCATCAACAGCTTCCTCAGCCTGTTCTGCAGCTTCTGTGAGAAGTAATGGGTAACGGACGTGCTCTCATGAATTGGTGTTCTCGTCATAAGCTGCCTCCAACCCTTTCTGCAAGAAGAGAATATGAATCCCTTTTAGGGATTCCTGTAGGTTGATAGGACACTTCCTCGCATGTAGGGGGAATTATGCCATGCACTTAAAATAGAATTGTGTGCTTTAAGATGACACGGTAACAGAATGAGTAACAAAGTCATTACTGGTGTATAGGGAGGGGACTTAGAATTCATAAAATGACCTTATTTCAGCCTCTTTGCAACCTCATAAAAGCTGGCTTCATGTCAGAGATAGGGAAGTTGAGGCTCCCAGAAAACACGACTGCTACCCCTAAGCACACAATTAGGTGATCCCTAACTTCTAAATTCAAGTTTACCAGTTGTAATGTATGAAAAATTTCCTCAAAATTCATAGGTTGACGCCCTAATCACCAATGTTACTATACTGGAGACAATGTTTTTTAACATGATCATCAAGGTTAAATGAAGTCATTAGGGGAAATCCTGATCCAATAGAATTGGCATCCTTAAAAGAAGAGGAAGAGGGGGGCTGGAGAGATGGCTCAGCGGTTAAGAGCACTGACTGCTCTTGCAGAGGACCTGGGTTCAATTCCTAGCACCCACATGGCGGCTACAGACTGTCCTTAACTCCAGTTCCAGGGGACTCTGAAGCCCTCTTCTGACCTCCAAGGCACTGCATGACATGGGTGTACTCACATACATGCAGGCAATACACTCATACATGTACAATAAAAGTAAAATATTAATAAAAGAAGAAGAGGAGCCGGGCACGGTGGTGCACGCCTGGGCTGCAAATTGAGACTCTGCCACAAACCAACAAATAAACAAGATGGATATGGTGGAGCAGGCCTGTAATTCTAGTTACTCAGGAGATGAGGCAGGAGGATAGGGAGTTTTAGGCTAGCCTGGGAAGTTCAAACTATAGGGCTGGGAAATAGGGGCTGGTGAGATGGCTCAGTGGGTAAAGGCACCCGCTGCCGAGCCTGACAACCCGAGTTCAATCTTTAGAACCCACGTGGTGGAAGGAGAGAAGTGACTCCTGTAAGTTGTGCTCTGATCTCCACACATGCACCATGCTAGGTACACACTCACACATACACAAATAAGTAAATACTAAGAAATTTTAAAAGAAACAAGAAGGAGGAGGAGGAAGAGAAGAAGAGGAAGAGGAGGCCCAGGTCTTTCTTGTTGCATGAGAACAAAGGCCACATGAGTCAACCATCTGCAAGTCAAGGAGACAGGCCTCCATAGAAATCAAATCTGCTGTTACCTTGGTGTTCAGTGTCTAGCTTCCTGAACTGTAAGAAAATATGGACAAGGGTGATCCTGCCTATAACACCAGTTCTCAGGAGCTGAGGTAGGAGGATCATAAATTTAAGGCCAGTCTTGTCTGCATAGTGAGATCTTGTTCCAAAACAAACAAACAAAAACAACTAGCTTCTATTAAGTCATCCAGTCAGTGGAAACCTATGCAACCCTTGAAGACTAATACACCATGGTTCTTTTCTGTAGTGTACAGGAGAGTTCAACAAATAGTATATTCTCAGTACCCACTATGTGCCTGGCATTGCCACAGATGCTGCAAATCCTATTCAAACGTGCTCAAGACATGCTTATAGACCTTGATCCCTGCCCTGTCATTTAGACTGTTGGTCCATTTACCATAATTTGAACATTATATGGTAAGGGCTATGTTAGAGTTCAACAGAGGGTGCAAGAGAGCTTGGAGGAACAGTGAACTCCAGAGCGCAATCAAGGAAAGCTTCAGTTGCGTCTGAGCTGATACTTTGAAGAGTTAGCCCAGGAAAGAGGGAAGGAAGGGCTCCCCAGTGATCAGAAGCTTAGTGGGGGAAGAGTCCAGCTGCTGTCTGAACAGAACCGAGTCATGGCTGCTTTCACAGGAACATAGAAAGCAGAGGACTCCCTACCTGCTTACTTGAGGATCTTTGTAGGCATGGTGCCAAATGGAGAGAAGAGTCAATGGAGTGAAGGAGATGCTGGTGGAAAGTGTGGCGGGTGGGAAGATGACGCAGGCAGAAGCAGCTTGGGAAAAACAGAGATCAGGGTACTAGCAAGAAAAGAGAGGTGGTGGGCAGGTCCAGGAAATGAGGGAACTTCAGGCTCTTGGGCCACGGAGAGGACAAACACAGGAAGGGGATGTGGGGGACCCTAAGCTGTAGTAGTCCCTTCTCAATCCCTTGGATCCCAGGGACTGCTGAAGAACTAGAAGCCTCCAGCATGCAGCCGTTCCTTAGTTCTCAGGGTTTGGTTTTGGCATAATAAAATGTTCATTGAGGGGCAAGAAATGGCTCATGGGTAAAGGCACTTGGTGTTCAAGCCTGGTGACCTAAGTTTGATTCCCAGAACCTACATAAAGATAGGAGAGAACAAATTCGACAAAAGTTGTTCTTTGATCTCCATACTCGGGCTGTGGCACATGCACCTCCACCCACCCCACCATGTGCCCATACACACACACTGATAAATAGCACTTAAAATGATCACTGAATTGTATACATTAAATCCTCTGGGTTTAAAAATTATTTTTATTTTACATGTAAATTTTTGCCTGAATGTTAAGGGCTAAGTGCACCTCATGTGTGTAGTGCCCACAGAGGCCATAAGAGGGCATCAGATCTCCCTGGAACTGAAGTTATGAATGACTGTAAGCTGCCATGTGGGTGCTGGGAACAAAACCTGGGTCCTTTGCATGAGCATCAAATGCTCTTAACCACTGAGACATTTCTCCAGCTTGTACTTTTCTTAAAAAGAAAGGAGAAAACACACTATCTTTCCAGAAGTCAAATCAAACTTCTGTGCCAGATAGAGTTCAGGCTTGTCTGTGGATTCAAGACTAATGCCAGAAATGGGGCTGGTGATACTGATCCAAGGGGCAGCTATAGAGGGTGTGGTAGACAGCTTTGAGCTGGTGTGAGCTGTGCCAAGGTCTATGGTCTCTCTGTATAGACCTCTGTCTGTTGGCCAGTGCCAGGAGGAAGTCAGTCAGATTACGAAGAGTTTTTCTACAAGAGAAGAAGTGTGACTGAGAGGCCAGCCATAAGAAACCAGGGACAAAGGAAAGTCACTCTGGGCATTGTGAAGAGTGGACAGGGAAGGTGAGGTTTGGGAGTCTGAGTCAGGGAGACCAATCTAAGCAATAATTCAAATGTTTTTTTGGTTTGCTTTTTTTTTTTTTAAGGCCAGGTCTCATGTAGCCCAGGCTAGCTTCAAACTCACTATGTAGCTGAGGGTAACCTTATATTCCTGATCTTCCTGCCTCCACCTCCCAAATACCAAGATTACAGGCATGTGCCACCATGTGCGACTGAAAGCACTTTCTGAACCAAAAGTGAAATAACAAAATTGGTTTGTAACCCTAACCCTAACTAAAAAAAGAAAAAAAAAGTTACTACTAGGATTCGAAAAGGACTATTTTACAGCAAGTACCCCTTTTGAATGTTATAGAAGCAACTTTATAAAAGAAGCCTGGATGGATACCAGAGTTTCTCTTCTTCTTAAATTTTTAAAACATTTTTTAATTGTGTGCATCTGTGTGTCGGTATGTGCATATGAGTGCAGGTGACCTTGGAGCCTGAGTTCCACGTGGTTGTGAGCTGACAGATGTGAGGGGCTGGGAACCCAACTCTGGCCCTCTGCAAGAGCAGTATGTGCTCATAACCACTGAGTCCTCTCTCCACTCTCTTAGTTTCTGAAGCAGGCAGGGGTCAAGACCTACAGCCTTCTAAAATAGAATCAGGGTGATGCTTATGTGCACCAAATGCAGCCTAAGCCTGTTCTTTTCTGAGTCTTTGCACTGGAGTAGGTGTGGATTAGACACAGCAAGGTATCCTAGGCTAGTGCTCTGCAAACCTTCTTTAATGGCCCAAAGGACATTTTAGATTTTGAGGGTCATGTGGTCCTTGCTGCAACTACTCATTTCTCTTATACAGGTCAAAAACAGCCAGAGATGTAGATATAAGCACGTTGGGTTCCAGTGTGATTTTGTACATTCATGAGCTTTAAATTTCTGTAATCTTCACGTCCCAAAATACCATTTCTTTTTCTTGTTTTAAGACAGGGTCTCACTCTGCAGTCCTGACTGGCCTCCTGTCTCAGTCTCCTGACACTGGAATTATGGGTGTGTGCTACCACACCTCGTTTTGTCTTTTGATTTTACAAGTTATTTTAAAACCAGTTGTGGTGGTGATGCCTGTAATCCCAGCACTTGGGAAGCTTAGGTAGAGCTGCCAGTTTCAGGCAATGTAGCAAAACTCTGCCACAGAAAACAACACAACAATAAATACTACTTATCTCCTGCTTTTAATTCACAAGTTGTACGAAACAGGAGAAACAGGGGCCAGGGATGTGGCTCAGTCTTAGGGTTTACTCTCCAGCATCCATAAACATCCGGAACTCCAGTTCCAGGATCTGACACCATCTTCTTTTCTTCGGTCTTTTTTTGAGACAAGGTCTCCCTGTAGCCCCAGCTGGCCTGGACCTCACTATGTAGACCAGGTTGGCCCTGAACTCAACTCACAGAGATCCGCCTGCCTCTGCCTCCGGAGTGCTGCCCGGCTAACGCCCTCTTCTGACCTTCACCGGCACTGCACGACTCAGATACACTGACATACAAGCAGGCAATACACTCATACACATAAAATAAAAATATTTAAAAAGCCCTCAGGAACAGAACAGAAGGAAGACTGGGTTTGAAGATCCCTGGATTTGCAGGCCCTGCCGCTCACTGCCTGGGTGTCCGGGGTCAGTTCCCTAACGTCTCCCGATCTCGGTTCCGTGCGTACTTCCTGCGTAGTCTGTAAGTCTAAAGCCTAGGTAAACCAGAGACACTCCAGCCAGGACCGGCCTGCGGCGACTGCGCAGGCGCTGGGAGGGCGCGCGGTCGCCGCGGTGTCACGTGAGCGCCTTGGGCGGCCCCGTAGCCCTGGCGACGCGGTGCAGGCCCTGGCCCCACCGCCACCCAACTGGCCTTCCTCCGGAGACTCGCAGGGGCCTCACGCCTGGTCATGGCCACGTCCTCCTTTCGCGGCACGTCCATCGGGGCAGCCGAGGGGATGTTCGAGGCCGACAGGAACCCAGGGGACCCAGAGAACACATATATTCTGCGGCCCGTTTTCCAGCAAAGGCGGGTAGCGGACGGGACGCGTCTGGCGAGCTCGGGAGTGCTGGGTTGGGCGCCGAGAGCTAGAGCGTCAGAAAAGCTTGCAGGCCGCGCGGGGAGGGGAGGGAGCGGAGTGGAGCCTGAGCCGGTGGGGCGGAGCCTGAGCCTGTGGGGCGGGGCCTGAGCCGGGGGCCGGAGCCTGAGCCGGTGGGGCGGAGCCTGAGCCTGTGGGGCGGGGCCTGAGCCGGTGGGGCGGAGCCTGAGCCGGTGGGGCGGAGCCTGAGCCGGGGGCCGGAGCCTGAGCCGGTGGGGCGGAGCCTGAGCCGGTGGGGCGGAGCCTGAGCCTGTGGGGCGGGGCCTGAGCCTGTGGGGCGGAGCCTGAGCCGGTGGGGCGGAGCCTGAGCCGGTGGGGCGGGGCCTGAGATGGGACGCAATTGGGTGTTCCCAAGGGGCCGCAGGAGTCTGCTCACTGGTGGTTGGGAGCGCCTTAGACTGGCGCAGTGGGAGTCGCTCTTCGAGGCTCTGGATGTGTACACGCACAGGACGTGTACAGGAAAAGGATAGAGTTTGCAATTGAGCAGTTCACCTGAGACACCTTTCAGTAGTACCCAGGGTTACCGCGTGCACTCCTGTGACAGGATAGGTTTGCTTCTGGCGCCCAATTTGTAGCTATACAAAGTACTCCCACGTAGTATCACTTAGACTGCCGCCACCCCAGTGCCTTGCTGGAAGAGGGCAGTGACCTAGTCTGTAGGATCCATCACAAACTTCATCTTTACAAGAGAAGATTTTTAAAAAATTTACATGTATGTGGGGCGTGGTGGTGCACACCTTTAATCTCAGCCCTCGGGAAGCAGAAGCAGGCAGATCTCTGAGTTCGAGGCCGACCTGGTCCATATAGTGACTTCCAGGTGGCCTGGGACTAGGGAGGCCCTGTCAAAACCACACACACACACACAAATAAAAATTTACATTTATATGTTGGTGTGTGGGGGAGCAGGGTGAACGAATGCCCTGGTGGGAGTGTAGAGATCAAAGGACAACTTGTGGAAGTTGGTTCGATCCTTTCACCATATGCGCCCAGGGATTGAACTCCCGTTGTCAGGCTTGGCAGCAAGCCCTCTTGCCCACTGAGCCATCTCACTGGGCTGAAGAAAAGTTGTTTTGTTTTTCAGACAGGATCTCACTGTGTAGTCCTTGCTGGCCTTGAACTCTATGTAGACCAGGTTGGTCTTGAACTCATAGATCTACCTGCTCTCCCCAGTGCTGGGATTAAAGGTGTGGGCCATTACTCCCAGTCCGAGAAAAGATTTTTAAAAAAATTACTTTTATTTTGTGTGTATGTGTGTACTGCCTGCATGTAGGTAAGTGCACCAGTGTAGTGCAGTGACAGAGGAGGACAGAAGAGGCTGTTGGATCCCCTGGGATTGGAGTTACAGACAGTTGTTAGCTTCCATGTGGGTGCTGGGATTCGAATCCTGGGTCTTCTGCAAGAACACCCAATGTTCTTAACCACTGAGCCATCTCTCCAGCCCTGAGAAAATATTTTTTTTAAAGGGTGGCAGGGAAGAGGCTGGAGAGATAGCTCAGTCTGTCAAGTGCTTGCTATGAAAGAATGAGGCCTGGGTTTGATTACCTCACCCACATAAAGAGCCAGTGCTGTAATCCCAGTGCTGAAGAGACAGAGAATCTGGGATTCCCTGTGCAGCCAGCCTAGCCTCATCTGAAGGCCCTAGCCCCAGTGAGAAACCCTGTCTCCACCAAGGCTCCACCTTGGAGGAGGAATGACAACCAGTGGTTGCTATTTGGCGCATATCACCTACCCATCCTACCATTCTCCTACTGTTTATAATTTTATTTATTTTTTTTATGTGTAAGTGTATTGTCTGTGTGTATGTAAGTACACCCATATTGTGTCATGCAGTGTCTGCAGAGACCGGAAAGGTGTCAGATCCCCTAGAAATGGAGTTACAGATGTTGTTAACCACCATGTGGGTGCTGGGAATTGAACCCAGGTCCTCTAGAAGAGCAGCCAATACTCAACTGCTGAGGCATCATCTCTCCAGCCCCCATCTGGCTACTGTTGTTGGAAATTAGATTAATGAATCTAAAAATTGGCTAGCGTTGGATTGAAAACCAGGAACTTTGGCTCTATGCGATGGCAATTTCCCCATGGATATAGAAAAATGTATGTCCATTTACATACATGTAAATATTCTGTTTGTAATGGCATTGAGCTGTGTTTCTGTTGTAAACAGTGCAGAATAAGGTTAACAACAAATACATGTTATGTGGAAATAATCCTGTGAGTTTATATGTGACTTATTTGAAGAGAACCATAGCATTTTATAGAAGATTGAAAAAGCATAAGCAGGTCTGTGAGATAACTCCTCCTGTCTGTATAGGTGCTTGCTGCCAAATCTGATGACTTGAGTTCAATCCCTGGGACCCACATGGTGGAAGGAGAGCACCAACTCCCCAAAGTTGTCCTCTAACTTCTACATGTGTGCCATGATGCAAAATTAAATACATGTAAAATAATTTTTTTAAAATCTTAAGGGAAGAAATAGATAACAATATTTGGGGGTGGGTAGTGCTGGGGATTGAAAGCAGGGTCTCATGCATGAAAGGCAAGTTCTTTTTCATTGAGCTACTTTCTCAGCCCCTAGATACGCACAGTATTTTATAAAGCCACATGGGGCTGGAGAGATGGCTAAGCTGTTAAGAACACTGACTGCTCCTGCAGAGGACCCAGGTTCAATTCCCAGCACCTACATGGAGGCTGACAACCATCTGTAATTCTAGTTCCAGGGGATCTGATATCCTTTTCTGATCTCTGCCTGGCAATGCATGACATGGGTGCGCTTACACATATGCAGGCAATACACTCATACACATAAAATAAGATGAAAAATAAAAAAGGCCACATTTTGAACAGATCAAATCTTATTTGGCGGGGGCGGGGGGTAACGGAATGTTGAGACGGGATCTTATGTAGCCCAGACTGACTTCAAACTTTTGATGTAGAGAGGATGACTTTAAATTGGTCTCCACAACGCAGGAGCTGGGATTATAGCCCTGAACTACTGTACCCCTGTACCTGGCTCTTCCCACCTGTGTGTGTGTGTGTGTGTGTGTGTGTGCACACACACACACACGCTGGGGATTGAATCCAAGGACTTGGGGCTTGCTAAGGATGCATTCTAACACTGAGCTATATCCCAGGCCTAAATCTTGGAAATCTGTTGAAGAGTTTAAAGTTTAGTTGTGAGGATTAACTGGCAAAAGAGCAAAAGAAGCCAGGTGTGGTGATGCCTTTAATCCTAGCACTCTGGAGGCAGAGGCAGATCTCTGTGAGATGAAGGCCAGCCTGGTCAACATAGCCAGTTCCAGGCCAGCTGGTGCTACAAGGAGACCCTGTCTCAAAAAGCAAAACAGAACAAAACAAAAAACAAAAAAAGTAATGCGATGGCTCAGCAGTTAAAAGGACTGGTGTTGGGTTCCCAGCACCCATATCCACAGGCTCATAACCGCCTAGAAGTTTACCTCCAGGGTATCTGATATCTCCTTCTGGTTTCCATGGACACCACATCACATGCATATACACACATATATGAACAAAATAAAAAATATATACATACATATATATATATTTTTGTCTTTTTGAGACAGGGTTTCCCTGTAGCCCCAGCTGTCCTGGAACTCACTATGTAGACCAGGCTGGCCTTGAACTCACAGAGATCCGCCTGCCTCTGCCTCCGGAGTGCTGGGATTAAAGGTGTGTGCCACCATGCCCGCCTAAAACAAATATATTTTTAATGTAATGAGGGGGCGTTGGGGAAAGCACTTATCATGAAGACCCGAGTTGGATCCCAGGAACTCAGGTAAAAAGAGTTTTCTTGTTTGTATTACTTTTTTTTTTTTTTGGTGTTTTTGAGACAGGGTCTCCTTGTAGCCCCAGCTGGCCTGGAACTCACTATGTAGACCAGGCTGGCCTCGAACTCACAGAGATCCATCCACCTGCCTCCCTAAAGGCATGTGCCACCACACCCGGACCTGTTTGTATTACTTTTATGATGAAAATATAAAAAAAAAGACTTAAGGCTACTAATGGAAAAACAACAACAACAACGAAAAAAAACACCACCACCAACAAAAATTAGGGAAGATTGAAGTGTGCAGGCAAGTTGAGTTCTGAGCTGCCAATTAGATATTTTTGAATTGTTTCTCTTAGGTTCAGACCCTCTGTGATTAAAGACTGCATCCACACTGTGCTCAAGGAGGAACTGGCAAATGCTGAATATTCTCCAGAAGAAATGCATCAGCTCACAAACCATTTATCAGAAATCATTAAAGATAAACTAAAAGGTAAGGTTGGTCATAACTGGAAGTGACCTTCCCTTCAAACTCCGTCCATTTGTTCCTGCCCCATCTTTAAACATGGAGCGTAAACCACACATCCTCTTCAGTGTCTAGTCTTCTGTCATTATTTGGTTAATTTTTAATCAGGCAGTTTTTGCAGATGGTGGGAAAAAATAAAGATCTGGGCTAGCATTATAGAGAGCCATTGCCCAAGTATTCAGAAAGGCCAGGAGGCACAAGGGCTCCTTTCCCTCATAGTTGTCAGTTGTTTTTTTTTTGAGCAACCTATCAGTGCTTTAACCTGGATTAAGTACTTTCCCAGGCTGTCATAGGTCCATCCCACAAATCCTTAACTGCTTATCTTAGTCAACTTTCTGCTGCTGCCAGACTCTACATCTGTACAGCATATGTTGTGTTTTTTTTTTTTACCCTGTCCTCTTTATCTGTCGTTCTCACCCTATCCTCTTATCTCTTAATCTCTTACTGACATCATTATTATTTATTTTAAAATTTAATGTGTATGAGTGTTTTGCCTGCCTGCGATGCCTACAGAGGCCAGAAGAGGGCTTGGGATCCCCTGGAGTTACAGATGGCTTTAGTCATCATGTGGGTGCTGGGAACTGAACTCTGGTCCTCTGTAAGAACCACCAGTGCTCTTAACTGCTAAGCCACTTCTCCAGCCCTCAACAGCATTATGTTTAACGTCATACTATCTGAAAAGTTCTTTAGTTCTGTCTGTGCCCTTCCCCCTTTTTGTGGTACTAGGGATCTAACCCAAAGCCTTGTGTATGCAAGACAAGTGTTATACCACGAAGTCATAGTCACACCTTTAGTCCTACCTGTTTTTTTTTTTTTTTGTAATATGTCACAATTAAAAAAAATATTTTATTATTTTTATTTCATGTGTATTCATGTATTGCCTGCATGTAGGTAAGTGCACCCATGTCCTGCAATGCCCCCGGGAGACAGAACAGGCTGTTGGGTCCTCTGGAACTGGAGTTACAGACAGTTGTTACCTGCCATGTGGGTGCTGGGATTCGAACCCAGGTCTTCTGCAAGAACAGTGCTGTTAACCACTGAGACATCTCTCCAGCCCAGTATGTCACAATTTTTATTGCAGAGTGGCCACTTAGTAAGGGTGGGGAATTTGATCTTGAAACAATGTTCCATTTAAGGCTCTCGTATACAAAATTGCCATCATGACTGATATTCAAAATATCTTCACCACTGCAAGACTCATGATAAACATGAAATCATGCTTATTTGGTAGTGTACACTCAATAGAAAACAAGAGGCATTATAAAAACAGTCTTTAGTGGGAACAGACACTGAGTGTTAGGTAACTGATGACACAGCTAATGGAATTCAGTTAGAGGACTGAACTCATCATAACTTTTAATTTTAAAAATTATTTTAATTTTATTTTGTGTATATTTCTTGCGTGCATGTAAGTGTACCTGTGTCATGCAGTGCCTATGGAGGTTAGAAGAGGGTATCAGGCTGGGCGTGGTGGCTCACGCTTTTAATCCCAGCATTTCGGAGGCAGAGGCAGGCTGATCTTTGAGTTCAAGGCCAGCCTGGTGTACAAAGCAAGTTCCAGGCCAGCTGGGGCTACAGAGAGACCCTGTCTCAAAAAGACCAAAATAAAAAAAAGGGTGTTGGATTCCCTGGAGTTAGGATGGTTATTAGCCTCCACGTGGGTGCTGGGAATCAAACCCAGGTCCTCTGCAAGAGCAGCTGGTGTTCTTAACAACTGAGCCATCTCTCGAGGCCCTAAAAAACTGTTTTTGACATACTGTTCTAGTTTGCTTCTCTGTTGCTGTGATAAAACACTGACCAAAAGCAACTTGGAGAGGGAGGGTTTATTTCAGGTTACAGTGTACTGAGAGAAGCCAAGGCAGAGCTGGAGGCGGGATCCTGGAGGCAGGAACTGAAGCAGAGACCATGGAGGAATGCTGCTTACTGCCTCACTTCCCCTGGCTTGCTCAGATACTTTTCTTATACAGCCCTGGTGTACCTGCCCACCTGGGCCCCCCACACCAGTGAACAATCAAGAAAATGCCTCATAGATACATGCCCATAGGCCAGTCTGATGGAGGAAATTCCTCAGTTGAGGTTCCTTCTTCCCACGTAACTCATCTGTGTCAAGTTGACAAAATTAACCAGTACACATACTTTGTAATATCCGTGCTGCTGTGTCACAAAAATAGGTGTGCCAAGGTAGGTAAAGTGTAAGAATGCTCCAGTCCCTCATGGAGTCAAGTTCAGCTATAAATAATACTGAAAAATTATTATTTGGCCAGTGGGTAATACTCTCAAGGCATTCAAAGAGCTTACAGTATTCTGAGATATGACATTGACCATCTCTTTCATTATAGTGATTGCTTCAAGGGTGGCATATTACCAGTAGTTCTGGCTAAAGACGGGAAGGCATTCCTTGAGTTGTACATAACATAAATGAGAAGTCCCATGGCAGTCACTGACAGATTGCTTAAATAAAATTGATGTCTCTTAAATTTGTTGTGTTGGAAGGGCCCAGTGAGAAAGGAAAAGATAACAAAGCCTAGTCCTATCCCAATAGACTGAGCTGGAGAATGAAAGCCCATCAGGATCTAGAGGGCAAGATGATTTTGTTGCAGTTCTCCATTGACTGAAACTATTAACACTGCTTCCTCATTTTCTCCCAATTTTTCCAAAAGTATAAAACAAGTTCCTCAGCTGGCCTTGAACTCATTATGTAGATCACGCAGACTTCTATCTCACAGAGCTCTACCTGCCGCTGCCTCCCAAGTGCTGGAATCAAAGGTGTGTGTGTATCGCTATACCCAACTCAAACAGTTCTTTTTTCTCTTTTTCTTTGTTTTGAGACAGGGTCTTCTGTAGCCGCATCTGACCTGGAACTCCTTTTGTAGACCAGACTGGCCTTTTTTTAAAAAAAAAACTTTTACAAAAACTTTATTGAGAATTTCATACATGCATATAAGGTGTTTTGATGAAATCCATGCCCACTCCCTCCCCTCCAACATCTCCCACATCTCCCCATCACTTTTTTCTTTTTCTTTTCTTTTTTTCTCCTTTCATTTATTTTTATGGGGTTTTTGGCTACTCGATAACATTCCCCCCTCTGAAGAGGTAACCCTAAAATCTTTTAAGGGTTAGATACAAGCTCCCAAATACTTTCGACATTTTTGGCTTTTGGAACAGAGTATGTGCTAAGAGGCTCAGGGATATTTTGACTTTTTGCCAAGACACTGGCTACTTTTCTTTGGCGTCTTTTTACCCTGACTGCCTAGCCAATTCCTACCTCCTATTCTTATCACACCATCCTCTGGAGAGGTTACCCAAGTTGCCAATAGGGAATCGGGACACAGACCGCTCTGGCTTCTTCCATGCTGAACAGGGATGCAGGGTGAGGTAATTGGGGTACCCCTTTAGTGGGTCTATCTAAAAGACTCCCAATTTGCACAACTCTTATTTCAAGGAGGAAAAGAAAGTCTTTGAATCGTGAATAGGAGATGTGAAGGAGAAGTAAAGGCAAGAGTAACTAGAAAAAAGTCAGAACAGGGCAATTTTCAAATGTTCATATGAGAGTCCATTGGAATTTCTTGACAAGGGCATCTGAAAGCATCCCTCTATCATCGGGTTCCTCCTCATTTTTCTTTTGTCTTTCAAGGCTGGATGGATTCAGGATTTGCTTTCAGGTATTTTGATAGCTGTTGGAGTGGTTAGAATTGGTGTCAGTTCCCTCTCAAAGACTTCTAGATGGGGGAGAAAACAAAATTATCCATCATTTTAGAACAATAGCTAGTTGTCTCTGTTAGCTACAGGTGGGTACTACAGTACTGGAGGCCAATATTTGCAGTTTTACATCTGAGAAGCACTTTCTGATTAGGAACTGAGAGACCTGAGTGACTCCATCTTGGATAAAACCTCCATAGGACTGACCCAGCCCTGGGCCCTGTTCCAAGAAAAACCACAATACTTGGAATGGATAGAGAACAACTCCCCCGCCAATGGTCAATTAACCAGGGACAGGAAGGTACTAAAAGTCCAGATGTCTTTTCAGATTTCCTGAAGCCAGCAGTTTATGGTTTGGCACTGGGCTGCAACCAATCAGATGTTTGCCAGGCTGAAGACCCCCTACTCCCGTACTTGCTGAACTTGCTGACATAAACCTATAAAAGCCTCTGTCTCCCAAAGCAAGGGGTCTCACATCTGAGATCCGCTGAGTCAGTAACAGAGTGGACCCAAGCTTAAGCTTGCAACAATAAAAGAACCCTTGTGTATTTACATTGGTCGGCTCCTTGGTTGTCTTTGGGATCTCTCGAACTGGGCACAACAGAACAAAATCATCAATGAGAAATAATTGCCTAAATAACTTTTTATATAGACTTAAGCCTAATGTCTGGGAAGTGTAATCCCTTGAACTGTTAAATACGCAGGTGACATTACTCTTTGGTTATACTTTCCTTTTGGGTGTTTAATACCATACAGTTGGCCCAAATAAATCAATTTCT